TACCAGAATGAATGCAGTGGATCCATTCATATCCACATTTGTTATCTTTTCTTGACTTTGAAAAGCACGTACTCAGAGAGTTTCAAAAAATTTTTCCTCTACTAGTGGTAATATTTTCTGGAAGTTATCTATGTGTACTCTTTGACTCAAGGGAAAGGGACTTAAGGGATCATTGGGATGAAATATTTTGAAAACTATGAATTACTATATGTATTAGATCAGGGGTCCTCAAACTTTTTAAATAGGGGGCCAGTTCACTGTCCCTCAGACCGTTGGAGGGCCGGACTATAGTTTAAAAAAAAAACTATGAACAAATTCCTATGCACACTGCAGATATCTTATTTTGAAGTAAAAAAACAAAACGGGAACAAATACAATATTTGTATTTGCATGTGGCCCGCGGGCCGTAGTTTGAGGACCCCTGTATTAGATCTATTATATCAACTGTATATAAGCTGATTCAGTTTTTAGTGACAGCTGTATTTCCTTCTTCCTGTGGCAACACATGCCACAGTGAAAGGCAAGTATTCTGGATATCCAAGAATTATATATTGAATTAAATAAAATAGTACAGAAGGAAAACTAAAAAAGAGAAGTGAAGGTTTAGGAAAGCTGCATTCATTCATTCCATTAATATTTTTTTTCCTTCCTACTATTGCTTGACATTTTGGGTACCTATGATAACCTCCTACTATCTGCTTGGCATCTGGGTACTGGAATTATAGTGGTAAGCCAAATAGAAAAGGTTCCTGCTCTCACAGAGATTACACAATGGGAGGAGGCCAGTGAAAATGACAGTTTTTATATAAAAGTACTAAATGTAAAATAGTGTAAGAGTTGCTATTGTGTGAGTTTTGGACATGATCAAAGGTGGCAATGGTGGAGGTGTTAAAGTGTTTGGAGTATTAGAATGGATAGATTGTGATAGATTGAATATAGGCAGCTGGGGGGCAGAGGGGAATCAAGACTTCTAAGTTTTAGGCCTGAATAACTAGGTAATTGTTGGTACATTAGCCAAGATGGGAAACTGGGTTGAGAAACAACTAGTAAAAGGAGGCTATATGTGGGTAATAAGTCAGAGGAGAAAGTGTAGGAGAGGAAAAGCTTTTCATTAGCCCTCTTAGAGTCTCTGTCTGGGCCTGAAAACTAAACTGACAAGGACAGATTAACATGAGAAAAGTATACAAGTTTATTGAATATAAGTTTTATATGACATAGGAGCATCCTTAAGGAAATGAAGATCTGAATATGCAGTTAAACCTGAGTGTTTTTATACCAGGTTTGATGAAGAGTGGAAAGTTGTGGGAAAACGTGATAGGACAAAAGAGTATGAGCTAAGGGTAGTAAACTGGGGGAAACTCAGATTCTTCTTGGTGTCCCTCTGTCTTCAGAGATAAAGTTGCTCCCTTCCTCCTGGTACAGGGAGGTACCTGTCACAGAAGGGCTTTATGATCTGCTCAGGAAAGAAGAGGGAGGTCAGAAAGACCTTCCTGCACCTGCCATTTTCAGAGAGGATGAGAGAGAGAGAGGTCAGTGATGCGAGAGAATCATTGATGGGCTGCCTCCTGCATGCCCTGCACCTGCCATTTTAAAATTCCTTCAGCTTAAAACATTTCTTATGTCAATGTGGCATATTTTGTAGTGCCATATCTTGATCCCCTACAAAGGAATCTTACTGACTTCAAGGCAAGTATAATAGTGAAGACACATACCCACACACATGCATGTACTTATATATAGAGATAAGAGTCAATCCTTATTATTTGCAGATAGCATATTTGTGAACTTGCCTACCTGCTAAATTTTATTTTTAATCCCCAAATCAGTATTTGCCGCACTTTCATAATCACTCATGGACATGCCCAACACAAATGTTTCCAGCTGTTGAACAAGATGATGTTCTGCCCTCTTGTTTCAGCCCTTATATACTGTAAACAAGCATCCTTGTTATCACAATGCCACTCTTTTTTTTTTTTTTCATTTTTGGGCTTTTTGTTGGTGATTTCTCTGAGATGGCTCCCAAGCTCTCATGTGACAGGTACCCTTCCTGTACCAGGAGGAAAGGAGCAACTTATCTCTGAAGATAGAGGGACACCAAGAAGAATCTGCGTTTCCCCCAGTTTACTACCCTTCGCTCATACTCTTCTGTATACACAAGAAGGCTGTGATGTGCCTTACAGAAAAAATACACGCGCCAGGTAAACTTCATTTAGGCATGAGTTATAGTGCTGTTAGCCCCGTCTTTAAACATTCACACACAGTTGAGAAAGTGTGACCAGATGCATGCAGGAACCTGACCTGTGTTTCCCCTCAGAGTAGTGGTTTAATCTTTGCTAATTTAGTATATATTGTTTAATAAGCATATCTGTGACTTTATAGAATATAGCTACCACAAATAGGAATGAACTAAATGTGTTTTGTGTTGTTCATTTAGGCTCTGGTCTTTAGATTGACTTTTCACAATTAGCTTTTAAATTATGATTCAGAACCAATCCCTGCCGTATTTTTCTGCTAAATTTGAAGAAATTATATTTTTTATTCATTTAAATTTGGAAGTTAAAAAATCTATTTTTGGTATATGGGACGGTGCTGCAACCAACTGAGCCACAGTGGCTAGGGCTTAAAAATCTTTTTTTTTTTTTTGAGTACCTACATGTGGAAACAGAATTTGGAATGTTAGATAACTTGCATCACATGGGTGGTACGTAGAAGAATTCAAATCTGTGCACACACTCCTAACCACCATACTAATAATTAGAACCAAACAAAACACCCAATGAAAAAAAATTTTTTTTTTTAAATATATTTTATTGATTTTATACAGAGAGGAAGGGAGAGAGACAGAGAGTTAGAAACATCGATGAGAGAGAAACATCGATCAGATGCCTCCTGCACATCTCCCACTGGGAATGTGCCCGCAACCAAGATACATGCCCTTGACTGGAATCAAACCTGAGACCCTTCAGTCCGCAGGCCGACGCTCTATCCACTGAGCCAAACCGGTTTCGGCGAAAAAAAATTTTTAAGGTAAAACATTTCAAATTTTTATTTTAAGTGGCAGGGGTAAAATATTTTTCAAACAACTGATGTTGGAGAAATAATTAAAAATATAATCTGTCAATCCAGTGAATCCTTTCTACATAAATAGAAAAAAAGAAATTGTTTCATTATTGAATAAACATTCAACCTGACTGATGTGTGCTATAGGCAGTCTGCTGAAGAGATGGCAAAGACAAAAAGAGATCTCGCCCTTTTGTACAGCCAGGCAGATGCTGTCCATTACATACATGTGAATTGTCTTTGTCCAAAGGAAAAAGAAAACTTTTCATAACCTTAGCCAAGCAAGAAGTTACAATTCAGAGCCAGGGGCCTTCGATAACCTCCAACAGGATGGCGACAAGGGACAGTCCTCCCTGATGTCCACATTCAGAGAGATGGTTCCAAAGCTTTGACGGCAGGCATTAGAGATGTAAAATTGTCAAGAGGCTTATGTAAATCTTAAAAATTTACATTCTTTTTTAAAAGAGAAGTTTATTGATTTATAGAGAGAGGAAGGGAGGAGAGAGAAAAATATTGATGCAAGAGCACAACATTGATCGTCACCTCCTGCATGCCCCCTACCAGGGATTGAGCTCTCAGCCAGGGCATGTGCCCTTGACTGGGAATTGAACTGGCAACCTCCTGGTGCACAGGATGCCCAACTAACTGAGCCACAGCATCCTTGTTATCACAGTTGCCACTCTTTTTTTCCTTTTTTTTTGAGCTTTTTGTTGATTTCTCTGAGATGGCTTTTTGTTGGTGATTTACATTATTCTTAAAGAGACAGACAGGATTTATAACTACAAGTTTTCCAAAGGAATTACTATAAGAGAAGGAGGGGAAAGTCTCTTTCCCTTTTAGAATCAAAGAAGATTCAGTTTTGTTTTCCTTTAGAATTGTAGTTACCTTTCAACTAACCAACCTTCAATATCAGAGAAGGTGATTAATTTAACATGGGGAAACATGGACTCCTCTTGCTTGAGTTAATATTATGAACAAGTTAATTATAAAATTCTGTTGCTAGGAAGTGATCAAATAGGTTTGCCATTGCAAGATAACCAAAGCACAGTTCCATTTCATTTTTCAGTGGTATTTGTATTTTGGGAGGAGGAAACAAAGTAAGAGTCTCATCACCTAGTGTTGAGATGACAGCCACTGAGGTGGTCAGTTATACCAACAAGCCAAAGTGAAATGAACAATGTAGGTATTATTCACTTACTGTAGTAGTGTTAGCAAGGGGTCAAAAAGAAAAAGGCTGGGCCCTCAGTGTTCCATTTTCCCAGAGAATGGCACCAGGCAAGGATCATCAGTGACATGTAGAACAGATGGGAGGAAGCATCTCAGTGCCTTAGGAGCCTGGCACAAAAGACCCCTACTGTTTCATGGGCCTAGGAGGCGGCCCAGGAGTAGAAAAATAGAGTCGGACTGGAGAAAAGTGTTTCAGTTAAGAAGTGAAAGTTCCCTCTCTGAGTCCCCCAATAATAAGGGCTCAGAAAGGAGACACTTGGGCTAGGAATGCAGAAATGCATATGAGCATGGCCAGCTGGGAGGGGAAAGGTTAGGGGGACTGAATTCTTGACAGCAACTCCCTTCAAAGATTGTGATGCACAAAGGCTGTACACCCAGTCTGGTGGGGGAAGGGGCAGCTTTATTCCATGAGGCTTCCCAGGCAGCCTGTATAATTGCCTACAGTTTGGGCCTGAAAGATAACACATAGGATTTGGGGCTGGAGCTGGACTCCCCTCCTAGAGAAACAGTTGCCTTTAGAGTTATAACTGCTAGACTGAAGAGAACCATCCTTCTTTTCATCCTAATCATTTACAAAATTGTAGGAGTTTTAGGGAAAAGGACTTAGGGAGCATACAACTTTGAGAGGCTCACATTGATGCAGATGTGTTTTGTATCATTGTGGCTAAATTAGCGTGATTTTAAAAATAAAATTGGCTTTCCACTTTTCAACTCGTTCCTCATCTTCGGAATGGAATCACATGAGATCATGGAAAGGCTTCAACAGATACAGTTGAAAGCTCTGAAGTGCCTGCACACAGAAAGTTATCTTATGGAGATAGCACAGCATATTTTAAGTTGGAAGTGCAGTTTTCTGGTTTTCCCAAACTCCACAAAGAAGCAGTTGTCTACATGGAATGAGTGTCTGCTAAGTACACAAAATATCCCTTAGTCACTCTTAGGGATTTTTATGGCCTTCAGGCCCTGCTCACTGCTTTGGAAACTACAAAACAACTCTAGCATATTTCTGAGTACAGCCTATTCTGCTACAATATAGGTTTCTCAAACATTATTAACTTAATTGGAAAAAAAAGCTTTTCCTCCTTGACTGCTTGAAGGTCAGCCACCATCATGAATGACACAGTAACTAGCTGGACCAGAAAGCTCACGACCAGTCGACTGCTTGTGCTGAAACAAATGGTCATTGATGTCCTTCACCCTGCAAGGCAATAGTACCTCAGACAGAATTGGGGAAAAGCTAGCCAAAATGGATAAGACCACACCAGATATTATCTTTGTATTTGGATTCAGAGCTCACTTTGGGGATGGCAAGACTACTGGCTTCGGGATGATTTATGAGTCCTTGGATTATGTAGAGAAAAACGAACTCAAACATAGACTTGCCAAACAAGGTCTCTATGAAAAGAGACGACTTCAAGAAAACAGTGAAAGGAATGCAAGAACAGAATGAAGAAAGTCGGCAACTACAAAGGCCAATGTTGGTGCTGGCAAAAACGAGTCAAGATTCTTCAGTGACTCTCTGTGGTAATTGTGCAGATTTTTCATGAGAGGATTAATAAACTAAGAACTTAAAAAAAAATGCCAAAATGAGACACAACAGCATTTTTGGGGGATAAAAAAGAATTTAATACAGATTTAGACAGAAACTCAAACAGTGTCCCAATTACAGGGTGAAAACAAGGGGTTTTTATGAGAAAAGGAAGGGAACAATTATGTGAATAGAAGTGTTAATCTAAAAAGCCACAGTGAGCGACAAGCATTTGTTTGAAATCCAAAAGAATAGTTAATCAGGAAGCACTGATTCAGGCGGAAACCCAAAGTGTTCCAATTGGGGTTAATGGCAAATGGTTTTTGAGAAAGGGAAGGGGAATAAT